AAAGAATAATAAAATGATGAATCTAAATTTAAATCTTAAATTTAATTTAAAAAGATAATGATAGGATGATAATATCCTTTTTTATTGAATATAAATAAATCTAAGATAACAATAGAATTAAACAATAAATCTAATACTAATGGATAAAATTCTTACCCAAATATCCTTAATGGATAATCTTAATATCTTAAATAAATTATAATTATCCTAATTAACTATTATCCCATATCCCATCATATTTCCTCTGAACCACAATATAAGTTATAGTTAACTAATTCATAATTTACAAATAATATTAATTGAAACATTAAATTTCTAAAAATATCTGCATTTTTTTAGTTATACCTTCATTAAATACCTAATATAAGAGTCTTGATAATAGTAATTAAAGTTTCAATGCATGATTTTTTAAAAAGACTAATAAATGAAATATGATATAGTTAAAAAAATAAATATAAAATTTATTTGATGTCTTATATTTTAGACTAAGAAAATTTTTTAAAAGATACCATACCTTATATTATCATTTGGAGAGAGTATACATTACATTTTTTTTTATTTTAAACTATGTCATCGTTGAGGAACATTTCTATTTTTTCTTTTATTAATATGTGAAAAAATTTTGAAATAAAGTTAAAAAATATACTTTCTACTAAGTTCTCTCCCCATAATTAATCAAAGAAAAAAAATTGCCCCAAAAAAATATTTCTGCATCCATTATTAGTTGTCTCGTGTCAATTAAAAAAATAGCAATTTCTATTTTGGAATACATTACCCTTATCATAGGGGTAACTTTGTAATATAAATTAGGGCATTATGTATAATATAAAAATATAAATTGTATTTTAAAAAAATTTATTACTCTTGCAAATTAAAATATAATTAACTGTTTTTTTAAGAATTTGTTGGCCTATGTATCATCCTAAGTAAAATAAAATATATACTATAATAAAATCTATACTATAATTTATGTTATAGTAGTATTTATAAATTACAATTATAGCAAAAACTAAAAATAGATAAAAATGTGTATATATTAAATAATGATTTTAAATTAAATAAATAGTATAGCCAATATTATAGTAGTCCCTCTTGTTCTATATGCAAGTTATCTTTAAGTATCTCACTGTAATTAAGGAGATATAGTTAAATAATTAGTTTTGTCTAAAAAAATTAATTTATATTTATTAAAAGCATCACATTGAAAAGTAATTTCTCTTTTATATGCGATATTTTTCACCATTTATAAAAAAAGTTAAAGGGTAAAATTTGAAAAAAAAAAAGATTAATGATCCATTTTTTCATATGGAAAAAAACTTCTCAAATAGACTATCAATTATTTATAAAAAGTTATTCAAATATAATATTGATAGTAGTACTATTTATCAATTACATGTATTGTATTCTTACAATTTCTTAAATTTTTTCCCAACTATAAAAGTAAAACAAGAACAAAAAAAATGTATTTTTCAAAAAAGTTTAAAGGGGTAATGTTCACAAAATGTTAAATGAACAGTAAATCCCATTAAACTTGAGAATATGTATAGATAATTTATAATTTTTTACCCCAAGTATATTAAAAAATAAAAAATAATTTATTATTTGAAGATATTATTTATATTTTATTCTACAGTTTATTATTTTTTCACTTTCACAATTTATTGTCTTATATATAATGCAAAATACAAGAAAAAAATAATATCTCATGCCTATCATTTTGAACATGAATTTCATGTCCACCATCATTTTTTTATCATGGGTCTCACAATTATTTTCTAATTGTAGGTCCCACATAATTTTTAAACATACAAAAATTTTAAAAAAAAATTGTTGTTGTTCTTCCAATTGTATATGAACCCTAACAAATGACACATTTTACAATGTATAAGAGAAGATAAGATATAAGAAGACACTTTATTTACTTCCAATTATAAAGTACTTTTAAGTACTTCACTCAAATAAAGGAATGACAGTTAACTCATAGATGTCTTAAAATAAGAAAAAAATTTCAACTTTACCTTATTAATATTAGGAAGAAAGAGATATACAATATACAATGTGTCCTAAAATTAAATTTATAAAAGAGGTAAAATTAAAAAATAATAGAAAAAATCATGTGCTGGACAATTATTGTTATAACTATCCAATATATTATGATATGTTGGACTATTGTATAACCGTCCAATATAGGGCTTATATTGGATAGTTATGATTTATAATCGTCAATGTGTTGGATTTTGAAGGCAGCCCTCTTACAATAGTGCAATTTAGATGCAATAAAAAAAAATCCAATCCATTCCAAAATTATACTTAATTAATAGCAATTATACTAACAATTTTAGTAAAACTTTATAAAAACCAAAATTATTTGTGATACTAAACCAAAATTATTCTAATTTACAAAACATAAATGAATAAAACTATATTAAAAAATGTCTAACTCACTTATTCTTTACCTACAATTGAAAAACGAACTCAAACCATTTCTTAATGACTTTATTGATGTGACGGTCTCCAAGTTCTTCATAGTATGAATTAGGAAAATACTGCAATATAATGTAATATAATAATAAAGTTAATTAATTGAGTAAATTAAAATTCATAATTACATATAATTGAAGCTGGACAACATACATACCGTGGTGAAGATTAGAGTCATTCTTTGAGTGATGATGTCTTTGAGAAATTTCATCATGTAATATCCACAATTCTCGTTGTAGGCCATTTGTTGTAAGCACTACATCGAGAAACCAATGAATATGATATTGAATTAATTAGAAAGTTAGTATTAATTGTTTAAATTAATAGTGATAAGTACCTTTATTATTTTTTAATTAGTGTAAGCTTGATCATATGACTTGTACATTAATTATATAGGAAAGTTCTTTTGAGTATGATAAAGTACTATAGTCTTGATAAGAATGGGTAAAAGTCTATTTTTGTCATTAAAGTATTTCGATAGGAGCACTTAGTGGCTTAAAGTCCTTGTCATAGTAATGTTGCCTTAAAATATTTTGAAATTTAACACCAAGGACAAAATTGCTATGTTTTAATTACTTGAAGGGAAATATTGTTATGACAAATACTTTAGGTCAATAGGTACTTCTATCAAAATATTTTAAGAATAAAAATGAACCTTTATCCAGGAAAATAAGTTGAAGTTAGAACTTCAAAATGATAAAAAATATATAAAATTTAATTAAATTATAAACTATATATTAAATAATTTAATCATATCCTTTCTATTATCTAGTTGCCTGCCAATAGAATCCAAATAATAAAACTTTATATTTTTAACAGTAGCCGATACAATATCAATCAGCATCTAATGACTCTTAAAACAATTTAAAAGCATGTGTCATAATTGTTTTTAAAAAACAGATAAAATAAATTGATTACGATATCGTACATGCTTTAGTCAAAATTAATAAATATCATAAAATCAGCAAATAATTTTGCATATACTTCAATCACACGCTGATAGGTTTTCTAGACCGGATGAAGTACATCACAACTAGTCAGTGATTCATATTTGGCCAAGAGGGAAAGTGCGAGAGATTATTGAGTCTGTGATGGCATTTTTATTTCTCAAATCATCAAAATAACTGTAAATTTTTTACCCTCATTTTTTACTTAAAAAAACAATATATACATACTCCATCTATTCAAAAATATAAAATATTTTTTGAAAAATTAAATATTAAAAAATATAAGACATTTTTAATTTTTCGAGATGTAATCATTGCCTTTTTTTCAAAAGTACTCTTATTAATAATGACTTTATATTTATTGTAGGGTGGTTAATAAGGGTAAATATGTAAAGATATGATTAGTTTAAAAGTAGATAACTACTTTATTAGGGGGTAAAATTTAATTAAAAATGTTTTACATTTTTAAATGAAAGAAGTACATATATAATATTTTCTCTAATTTCTATCGTAAGCTGCTTTTAACTATTTCATTTGAATTGAAAAATAACTATTAACTCATTAGATATATTTTAAAATGATTTTTTTTTTCAATTTTACTCCGATTGAAAATAAAAAGAGAGAGATACATAGCATATTAACATATGATGAACACTAAAATCAAATTTGCTATGTGGATAAAATTGAAAAATATAATAAATAATCTTCATGTGTCTAATTTAAAGATCAATTTTTTTTTTAAATGTGTCTTGTAATATCAACGAGAAGGAGTATATATTGTCTGCAATCATTTTTTTCTATTCCCTATTTTTCTGATTTCATTCATATTCAAGTATCAGTGCGTTTATTTGAGCTGGAACACTTTCATTGGAGAGACTATAAATGAGCTCCCAACAACTGAGTACACCAAGACTTTTAAAAGTAGCAATAAATGAATAAAGAAGAAGCTACTCTTGGGGGAGACTTAAATAATAATAATTATTATTATTACAATTATTATTATTATATCTCAAGTTTATTTTGTCAATTATTTTTTTTCCTAAAACTATTATGGTCTTTTAAATATTATAAATGTATAAAATTTATCACCAATCAATATCAATATATATTATAAAATTCATATCACGTTAAAAGCTTTGTTACTCCCTCATCTCCTTATTATACATTATCTTCTAGAAATATTTTTTTATCTTCATAGATATAAGATGCATGGACTATGATTTATTATTATTATTTTAATTTTACCTTTTTTATAAATTTAATTTTATATCTCATTGTATTGTATACTGTATATCTCTCTTTTCTTATCAACAGGGTTAAAGTTAAAAAAAAATTCATTGTAAGATATATTTAATGTTTATAATTTAACTGTTAGTTTAAGTAAATCAGTTGAAAGTGCCTAACAACAAAAAATAGGTGAAGTATTCTCCAAATTTCGTGTAATACAAATAATAATAATTCTAGTGAATTATTTTCTTCTGGACACAATTGTACATCAAAGATTATCTCAACTAACGTCTATGATATATATTTGGCTGGCCAAAACAAATAGTCTGATATATCTGCTTTTCTCTGAAAGTGCGAGAGATCACTGAGTTCTTCTTCTGCAACTTTTCTGCCGAACACGTATTTGGAGAAATTGATCAAGTTTTCTCATAAACAAAGGTAAACTTGTGTTTGGTTTTGTCTTTGCTTCTTCAGTTCAATCATTCAGTACTCTTAAACTCAGTATCTTTCTTTTTGTTCATAGGGTGCGTATGTAGTGAAAAAACCTGTTTTGGAGAAGACCACTTGTATCAGGTTAGCTTTTGTTTGGTGGTGTTCCCATTTTCTCAATTTCTTCTGATACTTTTTGGCATCGTAATGTGACATGTTTTTGAAGAACTTGTAGCAAAGAGTCAAAGAATGTTAAGAGAAGTACTCAGGCCAACAAGTTCTTCGTATCAATAATGAGATTTGATCTTACGACCTAGACTTGGTAGGATATGGATCAAAATTTTACTAACTAGACCAAACTTTCATTGGTAATTGAGATTTTATTATTTTTCTTTCTCTTTATTGTTCTATTTTTCTCAATAAAAAAAATTAGTTGAGCCCCAAGTTACAGCAAAATATTCATGATGTGACCATATAAAGTGTATATATATATATATATATATATTTTACAAAAGGAAGTTATTTCTTTTATTTTTTATGAGATGATTATTAGTAGCATCATTTGTTGAGATAATTAAGAGATCAATCATTTTTGTGGTTTGGAGAGTAAATAATAAATCCCACCAAAGCCCTCTAGATTTCTAAAGTTTTGTCAAATTACATGTAAAGATATACTTTTGTAGTTTAGGAGGATTTTTGTCAAATTTTAAAAGCAGACAGATTATTCATACACTCAAATTAAGTTTCCGATTCATATACAAACTTGGCATTTAATTTCCCTTAATTTAGTTTATATTTATACTAAATTTGTATTAATTTCACACGCACGTGCAAAAGGAAATTGACTTCATAGATTTCACTGTTAAGAGGTGGTAATTATTGAGTAATTGTCAGAATACTATCTCTATTCATTTGGATCTCCTCAATTGAGTAAATTATAAAATTAAGGCTGTATCTAAATTTGATTTATTAGATGCTTAAGATTTTATTCTTTTAAATGTTTAAAATAGTTTTGAAGTTCATACAGTTAACATATCATTTTTATGTTACACTTTTTACAGAAAAAAATATTATCTTAAAAATTAAACTCCCTAAATTAAATTTCAATAATTTATTTCATAATGTATACTAAATTGAACATCCAATAGATTCAAGTACTTCATCAAATAATTGGATCTGTTATATATATTTTTTTTTAGATAATTCATTGAAGGGACATGCCAAGTGTTCAGGAAATTAATTGAAAAAGAAAGTATAGATGTTATAATAACAGAAAATATGGATAAAATTTTTATAAAAATATTATTAGTTTACATTTGATGTCACATAAGCTACTGCTTGTCTTTTCTTATGATGACATAATAACTTTTATTAGTAAAATAATTAAGAAATAATAGTAAGGGAATATGTGGTAAAAAAAAAGTTAAGTTAATTTTAAAATTTTAAATGTGAAGGGATTCAATTCAATTGACTCAAAGTTTATAGAGGTTTAGTATATTTTAGCCTTCTTTTTATTAAAAAAAATTCCCTTTGTTTCTTTTGTGATTTTTAAAAAAGATCTTTTTTATATTTACCTATCATTTTAGAAGTTTAAACTACAAAACATAGTATATGTTCTGAATAAACTGTAAGCAAGTTTATTGAAGATTACTAAGAGAGTAAACATAAGAGTGGATAATTATAACTATTTGTTTTAAAATTAATATATATAGCATTAAATTATTGAATTCAATGTTTTAAATACTCTTTCTTATTGAAATAGAGACTTCAATTTCAAGACAAATGTGAAGCTCTCAAATTGCAAGACAGAACTGAAATTGGCCTTCTTTGTTTGTTGTTGCATGCACATAGATCACTTACTTTGGATCACAAGAAAGCTGAAGACAGGTTAGCTTTTGATCTTCTTGTTGTGTTCTTTATTAGCTCCAATCCCATAAACTTCAACCTATAATTATTTTTATTTAGTATGATGTTTTTTCCCTTTTAATGAACTTTTGTTGGATATGCTTTTATCCATGTTTCTTGATCTTCAATAGTGTTCAAAGTCTATTCTTTTTTTTCCTTGGTGTTCACAGTCATTCTTATACAATTACATATATAATTTTGAACCACAAATAGAACATTTTAACATGACACTTGGCATGTTTTGAAGTCGAAAGGATTTTAAATATAGGATGGTCATGGCATGTATAAGGTCAACTTTACTTTTACATTTTTTTCTTGTTTTTTATCATTTATTTAACGATAGATATTTTCTCATTTTACTTTGATTAATTCTTAATTTGATTGATATTTTCTCATTTTCTCATTTTTCATTTCTTTCACCTATTATTAATAATTTTGGCTTAAGAATATAATATTTAAGGAGGATACACACACACAAAGAAAGTTAGCATATTTTTTTAGATAATTAATTGAAAAGAAATGCCAAGTGCTTCACTTACACTTTTAAATTACACAAAATAATCTTGATGTGATTTTAGAAAGCATAATTTTTTCACAAAAAAGTTACTTCTCGTTCTTCTTTTTGACTAGGAGTATTCTTTATCAATATGCTAGGCTAATAATTTTTGAGGTATGGAGGGTAAATAATAGACCCCTCTCAAGTCTTAAATAGGTTTTTTGGTGTAAACAAAGGTTAATTTTATTTAGACAAAGATAGAAATTTTATTTATTTCTTTAATTAGTGATATCACAAGTCATAAGTCCTAATTATTTTTTTTATAGTTTTATTTTATCCAATGCGTCCAATTCTTTGTAAGATCTTAAATCATTACAGCTAAGAAGGGACGGGACGAGATTGTGACACCCCTATCTCGTGTCTTGAAAAAAAAGATCAAGACTAAATTTTTGTCTTGTATCCCGTTCCATCTCAAAAGTCATCCCATTCTATTAGAAATCAGGACAAGATCGGGACGTTTCTCCGTCCTAATAAATCGGACAATGTCAAAAAAAATTATGAATAATAACATTCATTAAAATTTTAAATCACAAAATTTATTAAGTTTAAAATCAAAATAATACGAGTACATAAATCACAACAATTTAAAGTCAATTATTGAATTACATTAATCACAACTACACATTATGATAGTAATTACAAGTGATTTCTAATCTATAAGAGCAACAATAACAGGCAAGTCAAGTACAACATTAAATTATTATTTTTCTACTTTAGTTGATATGTGCTAAGCTAATTACTCTTCTGAAAATAAAACAAGAAATGTGATATAAATAAAATTTATTAAATAGATAGATATAAGAATAAATTATATGAATATAATTATTATATTATAAGAAATATATTGCCTTGTTTACTCTATATCATTAAAATTATTAATATAAAAAACTTTAATTTTATATAAGAATTGTAAATATTAAAATTATAATTGATATGATTAGTATAAGTATAAATTATATTCATATAATTAATATATTTAATATATATTTTTAAAATAAAAATAATATATATAATATTCGAGATGGGTTGGAACGTCCTGATGATAATCCTGTGTCCTGTCTTATCCCAAACCCTTTTTCTGTTCTGTCCTATAAAGTCCTGTCCCAATTATTTTCAGGTTAGGACGAAACCCCTCTTGATATAATAGGGATGAGATCCGGCCAATGGGAATAGGTACAACCCAAACTCCCCTAATTACAGTAGTCTTTCATTGCTATTCTCCAAAAAAAATTTATGACCCTAAATTTTATAAATTATATTACTTACATAAGAGCTTCCATACTTTGAGTGTCCCACAAGGGCTTGATAATTATAAATTATAAAAGGAGATTATATAGTGTGTGTGTGTCATGTAGTGAGAGGCTTAGGCACTCTATTTTTTTTTAAATATAATAAGTTAATTTTCTTAAAAAAAAAAACTAATCATGATCATCATTAGTGCTAAAGTCCTATTTTTTTCCTTATTTGACACACCCAACTAATTTTTTCGAATTACTGTATTAGTTAGGACTTTCTGAGTATGTTTTTTTTTGTTTTTTTTTTAAATTTTTTGTTTTTAAAATGTTAAAAAAATTATTTGGATAAGTATTTTGATTTTAGTTGTTTTCAAAACTATTTCCGGCTTTTGTTTTAAAAAAATAATAAAAATATTTTAAAACTATTTTCATTTCATTTTTTTTATTTTTAAAAATACATTATGCATTTGACTATTGAAAGTTACATTCACATTGTCGAATCACTATCATAAGCTGCCACCTTCAATCGTTGTTCGTTGACAACCACCACTATCAGCCAGTTTTTAATTTTAAAATTGCTTTTAAATTAACACAATCAAACACATTTTCTTTTTGTTTTATTTTAAAAAATAATTTTAAAAATTGTATTGCAAAAAATTTTTAAAAACAAAAGAATGAGACACAAACAACCCTTTAGCAGGATACCTATTTCCTCTCAGACTCAAGGCAAGTATCGCAAAATCTTTTATGTTTTTTTATTCTTTAATTTTTCTCACATTATATATAATCAGTAATTCTTTTATTCCCAATTTTATTGAGATATTCTTTTACTCTTTTCCAATATTGATATATATGGTACTCCCTCCGTCTCAAATTACAAGATATTTTTTGGAAGAATTTTATGTTTCAAAAAATAAGATACTTTGACAAAAATAAAGTTTTATAAATGATGTTTTTTAATATTATCTTTCCCATTATATTCTCTCTCTTTAATATTTTTTATAAATAAAATATTAAATGAAAGGCTTTTAGAAGTTTATACTTTTGCATTGAAAAAAAAAAATTGTAAAATATATTTAATAAATTTTATTAGTATTTGTAATTTTTTTAAAAATATTTTATAATTTATGACGGATGAAGTAATATTTAGGTTAGTTAATTAAGATTGTTTTGTGGGTGAGTGTGCGTGAGATCATTAATTAGGTGGATTTTTTTTTTCTTTTCTCTGATAATTTATTTTTAGGGAGAGTTATTTTGAGGTCTCCCACAGGCCACACCACAATTAAAAATCACAAGATCATTATTTTATTTTTCATTTTTACACTATTAAATTGTCAATAAATATTGTAATATTTAATTGTGTCCTGGGGTCTTGTATGAAATTTTTCCTTATTTGTTAGCCTTTCTTATTTGATTATGCACACAATGCGCAACCCTCAAATCATATAACGAAATACTCTTACATAAAATACACTCAAAGCTTTTATATCCCACCTGATTATTTATTTTTCTAAAGAATGCAAATTTAAATTTTCGTGTTAATATATACATCAATTTACAATTATAACATATTTTCTTAATCTTAAAAAAATTACATTTTTAAAATCTTTGACTTTTATCAATATTATCAACAATAGCCACACTACTTAATACTTATAATTAGAGGCAGTAATTTGAATTAAGCCCAACGTGCCATCTGAAATAAGCCTGAAAAATTTTAAAGTTGGGCTTGAGAGTTTAAAAAATTTTTTTTGCTTAAGCTTAAAGAAATTCGAAACAAGCCTGAACCTAAATGAGCTTAACGTGAATACTTGAATTTTTTTAATTATTAATATTAACCTTCACTTCAACTTTTACTTAGCCTTCACAAACCCTTTCCCAAACTTCCGGTTCGCATATTTTATACTCCTAAATTAAATTTTAATGTTCAAGTAATTGCTTGTTTTGAATATTTTTTGAAAATATTTTAAAAAATAAAACCAAGAGGGTAATTTGTATGCTTTCATTTTTTCCTTTTTAATATTTGGTCCCACTTTAATAAGGATAGAAAAATAGTAGGGGTGTTTAATTTATACCTGTTCCGATTGGCCTCGTTTTGTCTCGGTTATATCGGGATGGATCTTGCCTAGCCTGAAGATAATTAGAATGGGACATGAAAGGGGTTCGGGAAGGGACGAGACACGAGATTACCCTTGGGATATCCTGTCGATCATGTCCCGAATTATATATACATATATATATATATATATATTATTTTTTAAAAAATATACATTAATTATATTAATAAAAGTTATACTTATATTAATTATAATTTTAATACTTGTTATTCTTATTTAAAACTAAAAGTTTTTTTATATTGATAATTTTAATGATATAGAGTAAGGAGTACATGTTAATATCTTTCTTTACAATATATTAATTATATTAATATAATTTATTTTTATATCTATCTATTTAATAACTTTTGTTTATAACATATTTCTTACTTTATTTTAGGACAAGTAGAAATATCTCCCTTATTTAATCAAAATTAACTTTAAAATTCAAGGTATCAACTCCAAGAAAGATTAGCAAGTTGGTAATTTAAGAAAATGAGATTCCAAATTTTCATAGTTTAAATACTTTGAAAACCATTTATTAACTCTAATCAAACTAAAATAATGTTACGGAAGCAAGTGATACCTCAGAAAGGTAAAAGGAGTTAAAAACAGTTAAAAAAATTTCAAGGTTTTGAAAATAGAGTAGTGCACCACAGCTCGAGCACAATATGCTGTGGCTTGTCACTCTCTATGCCACACGCTGCGGCGTGTTGCACGTTCATAACAGCAGATCCGAGCAACTTTTGATGTGTCATATTTCTCTGTCTGACATCTAAATGAGATGATCTAGGTGTCTACAAAAAACTCTTTTCATAAGCTAGTTAATGGCATGAGTTTTACTTTTAAATTAGGTCACAAAAAAAAGTTAGACACCCAAACACATTTTTCACAACTTTTCTCACTTTTCACAACTAAAAAGGTGTAATACATGTGTCAAATGCCACTCCTAACACCCAGATCATACTCATTAAACCTATGACTATCTATATAATACACCACATGCACATATACACCACTATATTAAATTTTTCACTCCTCAATCCCTTTAATCTCAAAAACAAAGGGGGAGATTTTAGCATTGCATTTCAATAA